AATGCAGATAGTGCCTGCGCTGGGCCACTGTATGCGCCCCTCCTATCATAAGGGCCTGCCATGCTCTGGCCTGCTAGGCCTTGCCGCTTGTTAGTGCCCGTCTCACCAAATTCCCTGATATCCATCGGGGAAGGTCTGGCCTGAGAAGTGGTCGGGCCTTTTGCCATCTGCACATCGTCCGTAGTAGCAGCACTAGGACCAGAATGGCCCTCAGGATTTGTGACACTGCTTGGATCATTCGGCCTAGTTCCAATGGCAGGCGCTAGATCAAGATCACCACCGTCATGACCGTCATGTTCTTCTGTGCCTCCATCACTGAACCCCAAGACACGCCTCACAGCTCCCCTGATGGCATCTAAGGAACTCTCCCTCTTCCTTGGTGGGGACGTGCTGGAGCTGAGGGTGGCTTGTTGGGACGCCGTGCCATCTGGCAAGGAAGACCTGTGTATCTGTGAGGTCGTAGCAGCAGTGCTTGCTGATGAGAAGGTTGCCTGGCTCTCAGCAATTGGTGCTCGTTGTTGCTGGACCTCACTCTGCGCGTGCCCACCTCTGACCACCTCCCCTCCTCTGAAAGCACCCAAGGGTGCAGCAGGAGGGGGTTCCTCCAACTGTTGGTCGGGAAGCACCCCCCTCCCACCATAGCTGCCATCGCCACCCTGCTCAAACCGAGAGCTTCCTCCCATGACAGGATCTGTTTGCATTGGTCGGTCTGCCCAAGGGCTTTCACTCTTGCCCAATCCTTTTGGATTGGCCTGCCCTTTTCCGGCTCCACAAGGTCCCACGGCACGTGAGCTCGAGCTGCCTCCTGTGCTGGCAGTTTGCAATGCAGATAGTGCCTGCGCTGGGCCACTGTATGCGCCCCTCCTATCGTAAGGGCCTGCCATGCTCTGGCCTGCTGGGCCTTGCCGCTTGCCAGTGCCCGCCATCTGCACAAGTGTTGGATCTTCGATCTGCCATCCAAGTAGCCTTGGAAGAAGTGTCTTTCAAAACATAACTTTACTTGAGGCCAAGGGGGCGGGCGAAAGCTAGCGCTCCAGAATGGGAAAGTGGAGGGCAGCGAGGTAGGAAAAAACACGGCGCTCTTTTTGGAGGCAGGGGTGAAGAGTCCTTTATATGTGGCTCTTTGCCCGGATCCTCCTGCGAGAGAAGAGAGAGAAGAGAGACGGAAAGACGAGAGACAGAGAGGAGAGAGAGAGAGAGAGGAGAGAGAGATGAGAGAGATGAGAAAGAGATGAGAGAGATGAGAGAGATGAGAGAGATGAGAGAGAGAGAGACAGTGAGACAGTGAGACAGTGAGACAGTGAGACAGTGAGACAGTGAGAGTGAGAGTGAGCGAGTGCGGCCGCAAGATACGGGGGGGGTCTTCGACCTGAAAAATCAGGGGTTAGGATTTGCACCCGGTCGAAAGAAACCTTGCTATCGCAAGAGTAACTCCAGCTAGCTTCGCTAGCTTTCGTGAAAAACGCCTTCAAAAGCCAAAATCAGCATTCAACCCACAGATCGATTTAAGACTGAAACAAAACATAATAAAACACCTTGTCCGCTCATTCAAGTCACTCATCTTGTCCTCCCTCACGTCGCGTCTGAGCATCTCTCGGCTCAGCTCGGGACCGGGATCGCTCCGTTTGGCCAAGCGCTCGAGCCCGGGAGGTTTCGTCTGGAGGCACGGGGTATCCGGCTCGAGGTCTGACCTCAGAGGGATCATGAAGTCGTGACGAAATCGTGACGAAAATGAGTCCTGCACAGAAAAGCAGAAGTTGATCCACTCGCGAAATGCTCAAGTTGATACAGAGAACACTGCATGTTTTGAATCTGGAGACGGCAACCATTGAGGGGCGGAGAGTCACGGTGCTCTTCGCATCGTCCCAGCTGGCTCGAAACACCACCTCCATGATCAGTCCATCCTGCTGTGCAGGCGAGTCGGCCAGGATGACGAGTCAGCATCGACCCACTGTCAAACCTTCGTCTTCTCTCAACTGACATGCTGCCATTGAGCTTATAGAGCCAAAGTGGTGGTCTAGCTGCCAAATCTCCTCTCCTCTCTTGTTTTTCACGTGTCTCATGTTTCCCTTCCCTGGCCTTACGCTGGGGTGCTCTTTTAACACGCCGCGGGAATGGAACAGACTCCCAGCGCACTGGCCGCGAAAAGTCTGAGTCCTTAGCAGGTGAGCCCTTTCAAAGGCGATATAAAAGGGACTATATATGGGCGAGGCATGGCAAGGCCACCATGGCAACCAAGAAACAACGATTGCAAATTGGAACTCCACTTCTGCAGCATCAATTGTGAGAGGAGCAGCCGTGAACCACCAAGGAAATCTCTGCGGACCTGGCCAGGCTTGTCAACATTAAGCGTTCTTGAGGCCGGTCTTCACCAGTTTTGCGACCGGCACCCTCCCAAGCGGCCACTCTGCTCATGATCATGACCCATCATGTGCCAATGCATGATACAGTTACATCTGGTTACCGTGTGTATCTATATATATATATATACATGCGTATATATATATATATGCTCTTTGGGATCGGGATATTATATTGGACATCAGGCAGGGCTGTGCGTAGAGGAGGTAACGACCACTCGCATGCTAAACAACATATTAGTGAACTTGCACCCTCTTGCCAAAGAGAACATGCGCACATGTGTGCACTTGCGGAAAACAGCTGTTTGGCTGCCAGTTGAGGTTATGAATATCAGCTTCGACTCTTGCTTGTGAAAATTGTACATACAGTACATTGTTTGCAATTATATATATAAATGCGCCTTCTGCGCCCCCTGGGGCTGCGACTTGTCTCCAGCCGAACTGCTCTGTGAATGTCCCAGTTTCCAATGACAGCATGTGACCCAACCAAGAGCACAACCTCAGCGGCACAAGGTTGACATTGCGTTTGAACACAGCAGCACACCAATGCAGCTGACACAGGGTGCTACGTGCAAATTGCCCGTGTCCCCGGCATCTTCTGGTGCAGTGTGAGGGCATTCAATCCTCGGGAAGGGTAAACATCCATAATTAGCATCAATCTTCGCAAACCGATGCACAATTATCAATTACATAACTCATCAAAGAGCTTGCAAGCACTCACAGGTGAGATCTTTTCTGTTAAACAGCTTCGGCACAACCAATTGCAAAGACATTCTGCAGCAAAGGAACTCAAAGTAGGCGATCATCCCGCCATATTGCGCGCTCTGATGTCAACAAGCTAGCATTGGTGATTGCCGATTGTGCTGTATCAATTCATGAGGTTGAGGCTCTGCTACATCAGACCCTTTGCTTTACATCGTGCAGCTTCAATCATTTCCACAAGCAAGTTTGAGTGCACAGTCAGTACTTTCTGCGAAGCTGCCCATGTTCATTGGCATGATTAAAACCCTAAATCTTGGACCAAAAGCAGCGGGGTGAAGGCAATGGCAACTCTAGATTTACTTGACGCATCTTGCACATAGACTCCCACACAAGTCATACATATTTCTTCAGATCATGCATCCTACAGCTATGCGGAGGCCCCATACCTGCTCCAGTGCTTCATGCACCTGGCCATGGCTTGTGTTCCAATGCTTCAGGTTTTGCATGCTGGCTCCCTGTACATCACCCCGAACAGGCAACTACTCTTCGAACAAATGATCGCATCTTGCCAGCCAAAAAGACAAGGCCGGACTATATGCATCTTACTATCTTACTACTAGGAACAAGAAGCTACTAGGGGCTCCTGGCCTTACTACTAGGAGCAAGGACGCTACGAACGGGGCTCCTGGCATCGCTACGAACGGAGCATTCATACTACGAACGGAACAAGAATTGCATCTTGCCATCTCGACTTTAGAGACCCACCTGAGAAGCTCCGCCAAGGCTGTGGAACGCATGAAGGTGCTGCCTCAGGCCAGGGAGAAGGCATTGCTTCTTGAGCTAGGTCCGGTGAAACTGGCGTGAGCATGGATGAATGGAATGAAGGGATGGTACAAATGTATGTACATAGATTGAAACAAGCTTGTGACAGTCCCAGCCATGAGTCTGTAAGGTTGAAAGCCTTTATAAGCATCGCATCGGTCTGAGAACGATGCCGCACCATGGGGTCAAAGTCAGCCCTGGTCCAGCGGCTCGTTTCTTGTCATCCAATCGTCTTTTACCAATTTTACCCCTCCCTGCCTGCGTAGAACAGGGGAGGTTGCCAGAATCAGAGCAATCTCCCTTTCAACCTGAGGTCTGTTCATGTGGAAGCCAACGAGACAGAAAGGTGTCGTGTCGTGCGCATGCAGGCATGCTGCAGGCATGCTTGTGCTTTCTCTCTGCGGCAAGTACCTGATGGAAACATAGGACGAAGGACGGCTTCTCAGTTAAGAATGCCACATCTACTTCGGCGGAGATGGCAGCCGTTTCGCACCCCATGAGTGCAATCAAATTGTTCATATCTTCAACCAGTGTTTGCTGTGCTTAAATGGAGATGGGCGACACTATAGTGGCGCGTGTCAGTGCCAAAAGCAAAATTCTCCACCGAAGAGTTCAAACATCAAAGAACTAAATGCCCCTTTTGGGCGATCTCGAGTGTCACGTGCCAGGAAACCAAGGGTGCACCATGGGAAGTTTTGAACCCCCGGCTGGCAATTAATGGGTGATCAAAAAAAACAAAAAGCAAAGGTCATGCAAGATTCTGTGCAATGACATCTGCCTAGGTGCTTAGACATCTGCCAGAATCGAACTGCAGAACTGGACTCAAAGAACTATTCGTGAGTCCTAGCATGAAACTATGGGAGAAATTGGAACATCGGGTGTCACAGGAGTCTGCAGAGCTACGTCAGGGCCGCCACAAAGCGCCAAATGATGAGCAGCATCGTGCTGAAGCAAACCAAATCTATTTGGCGAGGTACTCAAACCAAGCAAAGCCATCATCACAAGGCGGCCACTTGCTAGGTCCAAATCACTTCTAGTTCTAAATGGACGACCACTGCGCAATTCTTCGATAATCAGGCAAATTCTTGCCGTGATCACGGCTGTCTCTTTGAAATTGGAGGCTACCACTGCTAACATTGCCAAACGATCACGAGCTTTCATGATTGCACGACAGAGCTTAAAGCGCTGAACATCAGTATCTGCCGAGCAAAGCGTTGGTGGCCCCAGGCTAAGCAAATCATCCTCTTCGGCTGGAAATTGCACAGCTTGCAAGTTGTCCAGAACCACAATGCGGCCTGCATGCCGCACCTGTCGGAAATAGAACAATTTGGAAACTGTCAGCATTCAATCAGGCAACACGCAGGATTGATCAGACGCGAACCTATAAAGGCAAAAAAAAGTCTCTATTGAAGATGACCTCAACTTCCCACGCAAGGTCTCTGGCCTGTCGCTTTCCTTGGCTGCGGCGTCTGTATGCAGCTTGGATAGCTCTAGCTCCAGCTCCTTCAAAGCTGCCACGTCTCCATAAAACCAGCAAAAGCCCTCGTTTCCAACTTCTTGTAAACAAAATACCTTGGGAGCGGACCGCTCTGCCGCTCTGCCCCTTTTCGTGCGTTCTTTGCCTACCTAGCCCACCTGGCCTGCAATGGCCATCGAGCAACATGCAAAACGCAGCTCCGCCGAGTGCCATATCCTACCGGCTCCACCAGTGCAGGTCTTGTGCAGTGCATGGGGCGCCGCAGGAGGCCCACCCATGGCTGGGAGCATCATGCAAGTAAGCATGCTGAAAGCAAAACAACACCTATCAAGTCCAGCTCAAAAAAAGCCTAAAGCTGATCTCAGAGCTGATCTATATATGAGAGGTCTTGAGGGTTTACAGACAATTGGTCTTCATGTGCCTGATCTGGTGGGGGCGTGTTCTCGGTCCATCACTGTGCTGTTGCATCTTGGAGTCTTGAACCTCTCTGCTCCTCCCACCGCCACAGCCACAAAGTCTCTGACGTCCTGATCAATTCACTGCAACATGTTTGGGATTTGAACTGCACTTCTCAAGCAGCTCAGCAGCTCAACCCTTTTCGGCTAATGAAAAAGGATTGCCGTCCACAGTCGCGCGTGGATAGCAGCATGTGCAGCAGGTGATGCTAGCAAGCCACTTTTGGCAGGCCACTGTTACTTTTGGAGCCATCAGGCTCCAAGTGTAGAGTATTAATTCGGAGTCTGCCAAATTCAAAAGGTATTCGAAGATAATCATCAAAGAACTTCGAGGTTTGCCATGAGCACCTGCCCAAGCCAGAGCAACTTGGCGAGACATAACTTTGCAATCCAACACATTCAGGCTGCGGCTTGTGGAGTCTCACGGAACATTCTCAGGTTGAGCCCTTAGATGCAACAGGATGCAACACTGCTCAAGACCCATCTGCAAGAAGCACTCTGTTAGCCGGTGCGACTCAGGCACGTTGTTTTCATGAGTTGTAGCCGTCGCCGCTGTAAGTCAGACCTGGACGGACAATTGATAAAAAGGAAGGTATGCTTTTTGATCCTTTCGTACATGGATTGGCTTCCAGAGTAGGGGCTGCATTGTTACTGTAGATTAGCTGGGCGTCACTCCACTTCTTTAGTGAAACACCCGCCATCTATTTATGTACAGTAACAAGTTATGATCCTCGGGTTGTCTCCCTCTTGTTGGTCCTCGCTCATTTGCACGTCTTCTCGGCAACTACCAGTGAGTGAATATCTTATATTTATACACTGCAACGTCATTGTCAAGCACGACCCTGGAAAGCTCTCTCTGATACCACTTGTGGCGGCAAAGCTAGCGCAAAAAGCTATGAATGAAGAACGGCTTGTGAGAGCAATACTCATAGTGAATGGATAGATTAGTACAAACAATCGCTCCACTTTCTACCTTCACCCCTAAAAGATCTGCTGTGCAGCACCGTTTGCTCTAAGCATCTGCCTGAAACAATTGCAAAATCTTGAGCTCTCAAAATGAACAATAATCCTAGGATTCCTTGGGATATTCTTTGGCTGCGACGACTGACTTGCTGTGTGCTTGGAGGCTGTGGTGCTGCATGATTGAAAAGTGTCAAAGTGTTCTGCTAACGCTGTTTTACCTCCTGGTCAGCCAGCATAAGCCGGTAGCGGGACCCTTACCCAACTGTTATTACACCAAGAAGCTCTGTTCCCACATCCGGGATTTCCACTTGTCGCTCAACTGGTTCCTGAGCACAAATGTCTTCCCTGTAAGACTGGGGTCCTAAACAATTGAATCCAACTTCAACGAGCTTTTACAACAGAAAATTGGGGCTAGCCTTGCGCAGACTTTCTACAGGCACCCGTCCTGTCGGTTCAAAGGAGGTTCACTCGCCCTTTTGGCAAGAAGAGGCGCCTCAATGCGCGTTCAATCCTTCAAATCGCTCTTCATTCCTTCTGTGTCGCTGCATTTCGAGCCTTCAGAGTGTTTGAAGTAGGCGCTGGTGCTGGGAGTAATCTGGGGGAGCCTTCGCATGAGAAAATGGTGTTTTGCACTCTGAACAACCCGCGGGAGACGGTCTCCATCAAATGGCCTTTGGCATCCATGCCAAGCTTGCGAGGAGAAACGCCACTACCAAGCGGCAGTGACTTCGTACCTTTATTGGGGGAGAGTTCACGGCATGCTATGCTGCTATGTTTCACAGGAACATGCATGTGCTCGACATCATAAATGCACACAAGGCGCTTCTCCCTGACTTCTCTAGAATGTCACTCTCATCTTCGATATTTTCCTCACTTAGTAACAAAGCCCCACATGGGGAATTCTTCCCCACATTGGAAAGCTCCCAATGTTGATGGGAAAGATTATCTGAAGCTTTTTGACTTTTATCTTGTTTGTTTGGACTCCTGGATGAGCTTCTCAATTACATCCTCCAGAGTGATGAGGCCCATCATGTGCACATCCTCAGCATTAACTTTGAGTAGTTATAAATAGATATATATATATATATGTGATATATGATGTGTATATATATATACTGTATATTACACGTACTGAATCAAGACGGCAAGTAAAGTTCTTCCTTTTCTCCAAGCATCCGGTGGAACCTCCTGATGCTGAGCCCAGGCTTCTTCCACCGCCTCTCAGTTCTATTAAAGTAATGTGTTTGTCCAAGATTTATCAATTCACATCAGCGGCCAAGCATAGGAATTGAGCCTCCGGGTTGCTGGTGACTAGTCCCAAATGACACTTTTCATCTTGGAACTTGTTCAGCAAATCCAACCTCACTGGGCATCAGTAGAAACGGTCAAGCCATACCAAAACATCTCAAGAGTTCATGTTAGGACAAGATGCATCAGCATACCGGGGTGCACAAGGGTCATTCGAAACAAATGCAGGTCACCAAAAGTCCTCAGCTGGGATGTGCAAAATCAAAAAAGACAAGACCTCCCCCTTACCGCAAATACACGTTCAAAGGCTTTCCTACTGCAGACGTTCTCCCAGCCACAGGCTTCCATTGAGCTGCTCTGGAGTCAGCATCTCAGTGCCAGCAGGAGGAACCCCCCCTCCTATCCAAAACTGTCACAAGCACATCACACATGCTGACCGACAGTAAGCAAAGCACAATGAGCTTCTTGACCAGGATGAACCCGCGGACATTGTGCTTGTGCCTTAGCAACATAGAAATGGCTGGCGCAAAGTCCATGCGTGCAACTTGGCACCCTGAATTGCAGCAGGCAGCTTTCTGTAGACCGGAATGCGGGAATGGCCGAAACTGTCAATCTCCTCGCCGTTCAGTCTTCAGCAACGAACATGCATTTCGATCGGGAGAAACTGGAAGACTCTTGAAGCCACTGTGTGCACTATGCAAGTTTTTCGCAGAGTCGGCAGAGACATTGGAGTCCCGCAGGGTGTCGTGGTTAATCACGGCATCAGCATCCAACCTTGATTGTGCCACGAGACCGCAACAGGACTGTGGTGGACCAAAAATTCCTCAGGCACCAGCATGTGGGCAGACCGCAGGGGCACTAGAGCCTTTCAAGGGCAAAAGTGTCTTCTCATCTTGGTGCAGCTCAAGCTGCTGTTGGCCTCTTGCGCTGTCATATGTGTCAAATTCATGACGCCATGCATGATCTTGATCCTTGGCTCGGCTGAACTGCAGCAGCGCTTTGAGGGCTCCCAAAGGGTACAGGGCAAACTGAGCTGCGCTCTCGTCTCGCTCCTGTAACTTAAACACCCCCGAGGTGAGCTCGCCCGACTTGAAGATGATCCTTGGCAACAAAAACAGCAAAGATGTTGGCTTTAGATGCGAGTTCACACAGACCTTCTAAAGCAACAAGCGTCAAATCATCTGGATTCCTTTCCCGGTGGCTGTAGAGTCTGAAAGCCATGTCCGGACCTTGAACGGTGGCAATCAGCTCATGCACAGATGAGCGTTCATGTGCTCTTGCCTGAAGCCTCATCAACGCTCCAGGGTTCACAGGGCGATGCATAATACATCTGCCCAACCTCAAACACAAAAGTCTGTCCACGTGCGTCTGAATGCAGGACACATCAGCATCAAAGCTTGATGGCCTTGAGCTTGGTGGACTTTGCAGGAATTTCGCTTGTCTCAGAAAACATCACCTGTGGCTCCAGGTATGAGCATCAAGCGGAGGTCCACCAAATCAAGTGTCGAACCAGCATTCTACCCGAAACAGCAACAAATTGAAACACGGCGAGGCTTGTAAGCGCAAAATCTTGCGACCTTCCAGAAAGAGTCCCGTGAAAGGTGCCTGGAGATGAACATGCTCTTTGAGGGTCCAGAGTCCAAATGGTGACAAAATGTTGGGAATGGTTTGCCCCGTCGCCAAGGGCAACTGATGTGAGGAAGCTGAAGTTCAATTCCATTAGTGGAGCTAGCTCTCGGCACAAGAGCTAAGAGCATTCCTTCCCGAGTGGTTTGATTTTTCCAGCCTTCTTAACTTCATCCACAAAATGTTTCTCTCACAGAAATTCCTCTGACGCCCTTATTTGAGTCTTGGCATTGTCGTCTTAGGCCATCACCACACTCTCCGAAGTGAAGGAATGCGGTTGCAATGAGAAAATGATGCCAAGCTCTTTGTCATCATGGGACTTAAACACCACCTGAGTCGTGCCAAAGGTTGATTTCTCAGATCAACCGCAGCTTCAAGACACAAAATCTGCGAGTCTGCCTGATCCTCCTCATCGCTACCCATTCTGAGACCAGCGTGCATCGAGACAATGGCCCGCAATTCTGCCTTGGCACAACAAACAAAATATAAAAAAACGACAAGCAGAGTGGCGGATAGGCGGAGCAATTTCGTGGTGAGTCCACACCTGCTTCCGAGTGACAAAGTTGTATCGCCCTTTGTGGTCGGCACCAAGAACACGATCCAACCTTACAAAACCACTGCCTTTGCGGGTGGAAGATGCAGAAAAAAAAGAAGGTGGAAATACTCCAAGACACAGTTTTGCTATTGGCCAAGAGATGGGAGTGAGAACGAACATGAAGGCACCTAAGGACAGGGGATCACGCCCCGGGCCGGCCATGTGCAACTTGCCAAATCCCGCCCCAAGCTTTGCCGCATCCTTCTGAGCAAGCCTTGCAAGCAAGAGGCTAACAAGCCCAGCAAAGCGGGATGCCATTGTCAGCTGTTCACTACCGGTGAACACGGCAGAAGGAATGATCTCCCCGAACCTTGGGCATGTGCAAAATCTTGTGTGGACATTTCGGGGCAGCAGTGCGGCAGTGTTAAGAGCTGCACATTAACACTAAGGAGACAGAAAGCACAACTGCGAGCCAAGACCTGGGAAAAGTGGCAGACTCAGTGGTGCAGTATGCAAAAGCCTGTGCAAAGCTGAGGGCGCTGACGGTACAATCTGGTCGAGAAACAATGGCAAGGCTTCATTCGCAATGGAATTCATCAGCAGCAGTGTGACCTGCATACAGCTACAACATGGCTTCTGCTGCTGCTCTTGGGTGGCTCCACAACCTGACTTGTTCAACCCCTGTCTCAACGTGGCTCAACCAACGCAGTCTGGGCCCAAGACCAACAACAAGTGATGGTCGTGAATAAGTGGCAGAATCCTCTCCGCAGCAGCTTGATCCTGCAGCAATATTGGAGGCCCGCAGAAGCGTTCATCTGTTTGCGCAGGGCAACTGCCTCTTGCACTGCTGCTAGGTTTACCAGAAGTCATGCGTTCTGTAGGACCCCCAGTGGCCCAGGAGCAGGGTCAGGGCCGGTATCCTTCTTGAGCTTCTGTTTCGCAGAAGCCTCGACCATATCCTGCACGGGTTTCAAACCTTGCTGTCACAATGCAAAGGTCGTCCTTTGTTGTCATGAGCGCACACAACCCTGGTTGAAGTGCATGCATGGGTGCATGCCGTGGTGCTGCTGTGTGGATCCATCAATGACAAATGATTCCAATCCATCCAAACCCCTCCTTGTCTTCCGTCTTGACAATGATTTCCATCTCCATCGGATCTATGGACACCAGCCCCATGGTTAGCCCTGCTGCCAAGGCAGCACCAACTACACAAAGTAGTGCCATTAGGCACGCCTGAGACATAGTAAAGACTTAGCTCAGAAGAGATGCAAGCAGCTTGAACTAGAGTTTTAGATGTTGCAGCACGCCTTGTAGAAGCCATGGCTCCCAACCCGCAGAAGCCCTGACAGAGAACAAGGCCATTCTAGCTCAGTTACATGTCATCGGTGAAAAGCATGGCTGCAGCACCATCATCATGGCTAGCTTGTGCAAGGTGTTTGTATTCCTGAGAGGATTATACTGCACCAACCGTTGGTGAAATTCAATCCCGTGCCCTGCAAAATCAATTGCAAGTTTCTGGAGGTCCTCCCCGGATTTCACCCTTGGTGTGAATGCTGTGCACATTGTTGGAGACAAATGTTTTGCAAACACCTTCAAGGTTTTGCAACTGTGCTTGGCGATGCAGGCAACATATGCATACATACATCATAGAAGCATGCATGCATGCCAATCTGACCCTGTCTCTCTCAAACTTTATACAGTAGCGGGGTCCAGTCTAGTCTCTCTCACTCACTGCATGTTTTGTGCTTACATACGTCGCCGTTGGTTGGTCGTGTGTGTGTGTAACCCTTGGAATCATAGGGATCCTTTTGGATTTTGTTTCACAGCAGGGGAACTGGGCACTCTGTGACTGACCCAGTTCAACGAAGCTAGGTCACAGAGTGGGATATTCGGACTGATCATCCGAACGTACCTGCAATTTTCCAATTTGTCTGAATGGCGTGAGGCTAAGCCAAGAACCTCAAGACATGCTTCCTAAGTAGCCGCAGACTTGCACGTCACGACGTCATCTTGTCGGCTCGTCGCTCGTCTTCTTCTGTTTGGGCCCTACTTCCCCTTGAAGACCTCCAGGATCCAGTGGTTCGTACCTGTACCCTTAGGAAATGGAACCCTAGGCCGGCGTGTGGCACCGCTGTCAAGTCAGTACACCCTATCTTAAGTGTGTTTGGCCTTGTGCCAACCCGGGATGAGCCCGCAGAGTGCCTCCTGTGGACCCGTTGAACGGGTGTACGTCGCTATCTCCCCTGCCCGGAGATGTAAATGCCCCGAGCGGGCGAAGGTGGCCTAGGCCGAGAGAACTCCGATTTTGTCCCATTTTAGGAATTCCAAGCTGGCTTATGCCTTTACGTGACCGTAGCGGTCAAGGGTGGCAGCCCCTGGGCAAGCCGTACGTGGTCGCAGCGACCGAAGTCTGTTCAAGGTTCATTGGAACCTGTTGCGAGCTTAGTCCCCCTGCTTCCCCTTCCCTCCCCTTTCTTTCCTTGCTTTTTGGGGTTTTCCTGAATGGAAGACTCAGGATCACCACTTTCTTTCTTTGGTGTGTCCCTGGACGATTGTTCGTAGCTGGGAACACCTGCCTTTTCCTTTTTTCTCCTCTCCCTTTCTCTCCCTCTCTCTTTCTTTCTTTCTTTCTCTCTTTCCTCTCCACCTTCCTTCCTCCTTGGGTGTCCCTGGATGCTTTTGTCATAGCTGGGAACCCTTCTCCGCTCTTCTTTTGGTGTGTCCTTGGACGCTTGCGTCGTAGCTGGGAACACCTTCCTTCCTCCTCTTTCCTTTTTTTTCTCGTCTCTCCCTACCCCTCCCTCCTGTCGGGACCTTAGCTTGGGTTGCTACTATTTCTCCTGTCCTTCCTACTAGGTGCTAGGTCGCTACTTTGACGCTACTAGAGGTTCCTGGCCTTGCTACTACTTTATCCGCGCCTTTTGGCGCGGAGCTTAAAACATGGCTCCCTTCGGGGAGGCGTGTGTGTGTAACCCTTGGAATCATAGGGATCCTTTTGGATTTTGTTTCACAGCAGGGGAACTGGGCACTCTGTGACTGACCCAGTTCAACGAAGCTAGGTCACAGAGTGGGATATTCGGACTGATCATCCGAACGTACCTGCAATTTTCCAATTTGTCTGAATGGCGTGAGGCTAAGCCAAGAACCTCAAGACATGCTTCCTAAGTAGCCGCAGACTTGCACGTCACAACGTCATCTTGTCGGCTCGTCGCTCGTCTTCTTCTGTTTGGGCCCTACTTCCTCTTGAAGACCTCCAGGATCCAGTGGTTCGTACCTGTACCCTTAGGAAGGCCGGCATGTGGCACCGCTGTCAAGTCAGTACACCCTATCTTAAGTGTGTGTGTTTGTTTTTGTGTCAATCTATCCGCATGCTCAAGAGTTCTCGAACCTTTATGCCTTTTCACACTAGAGGCTCTGCTCGGCATTCGTCAAGAGATGAAAAATCTTTGTCCACCGCAAGGCTGAAGTAGGGGCTTCCCCAAAGCAACACGGCTCCCAGCAGCCAGCGCATGTCGCAAAAAAAAACGCTGATGAAGGACAACTTCATAACGTCTTGCTATGTTCGCATTGGGGTGTGCATCCAGCTCAAGGTTGCGCTGACTATCAGTCACTCACCAACGCTGAATATGTTTTTTAGTGTGATCATGAAAGGTGCAAGTCAGCACATTTGGCTTGAGCCAAAGAACAGAGCTGCAGCTTCCGCGGTAAAGGCACAATGTAGAACCTGCATGAACAAACGTGTGAGCTTTTGGGCTATCCAGCAGCAAACATCGTTATATATATATAATTGTATGATATTGTGTGTCTTCAACTGCAGCTGTGGTCGTTCTTTGTTCATCAGCTCCGTTTGTTGCCTCCTACATGGGCTAAAACAATGATCTCAGTCCAGCGACCGAAGGATACAAAGCAAGCCAAGTGTTTGCAGCTCCTTGAGGGTTCCGAGTTCAGGCCCCCAAGGGCTCCACTTATGGCCTCTTAGCCATCTACAGTATGCCCTTGGGTCAGAAGGAGTCGTGAAGCCCAATAGGTTCCGTAGCAGATTCGTTCGTTCTCTCGGGCCTTGCTCATCCTTCACTAGGGTGAAGGAGTTGCAGGGCAAAATTCCGCCATCCTGGCACAAGAATCACAGGAGATCGAACGCATCAAACACAAATATTCGGACAGCCGAGCAGCCCTGCGTGCTCGGCAGAGCAGCCGCAAGTTTTCCAAATCCCTGGCAAGAACCGTCACAACTCACAAACTGGGTTGAATTGAAGGCAGCAACGTCATCCCAACCAAACAAGGAAACATAGAAACATTTGCGGACGCCGCGAGCAAGCGAGGGAGGGAGGGAAGAGAGGGAGGAAGGGAGGGAGGGAAGGAGGGAGGGAAGGGAGGGAAGGAAGGAGGGAGGGAAGGGAGGGAGGGAAGGGAGGGAGGGAGGGAGGAAGGGAAGGAAGGAAGGAAGGAAGGAAAGAACAGAGACAGAGACAGAGACAGAGACAGAGAGAGAGAGAGAGAGCGAGAGCGAGAGCGAGAGCGAGAGCGAGAGCGAGAGCGCGTGCTCGCGCGTGAGAACAGTACATCTCCAGAAGGCAGGCCTGACTTTTGTTGACATTTTGAGGCCACTCAACATCTGTGGAATGGAACAAGTATATAATTGGAGTTGAACCATCAATGTACCAGAACCTTTGCTTGAAGCTTCACTCAGAACCATCAAAGCGAGGTCTCTGCAACAAATAGTGCGAGGAAAATGGCTCGGAACTTGCAGCCCAGCCTTCACAATGGCATTCAAAGGGCTGTCCATAAGTCTGCCAGTTCTGTGAAACACGGAGAAGGTTCACAAAACTGGGATCGCAAGGCTATGCAAAATCAAACGCTGCAACGCTCGCTTTCCATTGCGTTTCTGCTGGTAGGTCTTCAGGGAAAAGACACTTGAAACAGGGCGACAGCAAACTACTGACAGTCCTGAATGATGGTCTGCACAGCGGAAATAGTACCGAAAATCATCAGAATCACTGCGAGGGCGCATTCTAGGCCTCCAAGGCACTACAAATTGTATTCGGGACGTCCTTGCCGGACGCTTTATTGGGGACCGCTGCGAAGCATTATGTATGCAAGAGTTGCGTGACTCAGGTGACTGCACCTTGCTAAAATGGCTACTGACTGCTTTGTTTGCAGCGAGGACGTGTGCCTATTGCAACCCACTCCAAATGCCACATGATGGGGCGACCTGCCGCAGGCAAGCACTGGTTGAGAGACTGGTTTGGTAAAACGCAAACCCTTGAGAGACCGGCAAAAAGGCAACCAAGCAACCTTTTTTTGCCGCTGTATTCCGGGTAGTCCCAGCACATCCTCGTACTGTACTCAATACAACACTGTGTTGGCGTCATATCAAAGGAACGCAGCGCTGCAATTCTCGTGGCTTTTCAAGCGTTGCACTATTGACGTGAAAGGCCTGAGTTGCAGGCCTCATGTAAAGAACCAGTGGAATCAACCAACATGAGATCCTCAGCATTGTCCGCTTGAGTGTGTATGTTACCTAGTTTGATCCAAAGGCATTCAGCAAACTGATGCTGTACCTGTCGCTGAAAAAAAATCGAGGAAAGGACGGTGTAAAACTTGCCCCGAGCAAGTCCACGGCAGCTCCGAAGAAGGGCACAACATTGGCCAAGAACCATGCCACGCACAGCATTAGGCCAATCACCGAACTGCAAGACAGTAGGGTGCCGGATTGCAGAATGACAGGAGTTCCTTTCTTTTAAGCCCGCTTCGGCGCCTACTTGTATAACTAAGTTCGCTACTACACATGGACGCAGGATAGCTAATGATTTGGTTTCTTGATTTTTAGGGAAACTGCAGGCAGGGCACACCCAACCACACCTCGGTTCGGAAGTAGGCTGAATCTTGCTCGTGACAATCTTCCTAACAACGCTCTGCCCAAAACGCTATGCAAATGATGCAACGCTCTGCCCAAAACCATTCATTCACTGAGGTGCCACGACCTTGGTCGATTGTCATTTGCATGTGCATATTTGGAGTCCATGACTCGGTGGATGGACTTGCAGAAGACTACTCCTCAAGGTCGGAAAACACAGTAGACCATCGGCATGGAGAAACCAGCACCAGTGCCTTTAATCAAGTAGGAGATGAGCATATGAGTGAGCATGCATCCTGGCGGAGGGGTTGTCGGCATTTCTATACAATTACTCTTCCTCTACAATCGACATCTTCCAAGAGATGCTCTCCAATATGGCCTGCTGCGACTTGAAATTCAATACCAAAAGGTAGGTTCTCATTCCTTGGGAGTCAATTTGAGGACCTCTCTCATGGCAAAGGCATGATGTCCAGTGCACATTGGAGCGCGATCGAGCGTCATCATCCCATTAACCTCAGGAGACGAATTCTTGTTTGACCAAGCGGGTGAAAAACGAGCGACAACAAACGTGTCTGTCAGCGCCCACCTTGTTCCCCATGTAGAGGTAGCCCCCAATACCAGCCACTGAAAACATTACCAGCTGGAATGGTGCAGAATACCCGGCCTTGAAGTCAGGAAATGAAAAAAGATGTACCGTATGATCTGCAATTGCCAATCTACAAATATCGTGTGCAAACGACAGACACACAACTTGCCGATGGCAATAATATGGCGCCAATTTATCCCGATTTTGGGAAAGGCTTCCGAAAAAACGCGACGGTTGAAAACCTGTCAGGAGCATATCGCTCCCAAATAGATCAAGCGGGTCAGTGTAAGGGCTCGGCATATGCCTTGGGCATGTCACTCGGCTCCTTCATCTCGGCGATGATTTCCTTGCGCTTGTCTTTCAATGCCGTGTTAAGGTCTGTATCGTCGTGCGGTGACAGGAATAGAATGAGCAAAAGCAAAAGGATCTGCGGACTCCGAAACAAGCTTTCGGATTCATAGTAGGTGTGCCGCTAGCAAAAAAGTCAAAAAGAAAAACATGAGGAAGCAAAGCATAATGACATAGGGGCAATATCACGACGCCTCTTTTCTTTATTGTTATGCACATATGTATGTATGTATGTATGTATGTATGTATTTTTTTCTTCTGGAGTTGTGGCGTCGTTGGCCGTTGTGGCCGGTTCGTGACACTTGTGGTGCCCTCTCAGTCTGCTTGACGGCTCAAAAGAAATCCACTTCCACCTCCGGATCGGCATCGTTCCCTGTCTCTTCCTCCGGTTGCTCCATAGGGCTGGGTGTCATGGCCGGTGGAGCAGTGTTGTGGTCACTGTTCTCTGTTGAGAACCGTAGCTTCTTTGGTGCCGGTGGTGACATCTCGACCGGAAGGCCTAGGGAGGGAGGTGGTGTGGCTTGCCTGCCGGTGGTTTGAGGGCGGTTGGGCCTCTGGCTTTGTGTGCTAAAAAGCTGAAGCAGAGTCGGTGATCTCTGTGTGTTGCCTTGGCATGCTTTGGTCAGTGCCTTGGTCAGGATCACTCTCTCCTCGCCGTCCAAGTGGCTGTGAGTACCGCAGTTCACCCAGCGGATGGCCTTGCCCTTTTGCCACAGGGAGTGGGAGGAGTGTCCTTCATGGTGTTGCTCGTACTTGGCATCAATGCAGGTGCTGTGGATGAAGGACTGGAAGCTTTCTTCGTTGGTCCTTTTGTGGATAGATAAGTTGCACTTCGTGCACTTAAGGTATCCAGTGGTCTCCTGGAATGCGTGTTCATCTTGAGCTTGTGGGTGTTGCTGTTGCACCTCGAGGAGCTTCTTGATGGCTGTGGTTCTGGTGACCTTTTGCCCGATTGGTTTGTCAGGCCGCAGGTCAGGTTCTGGTGCCTCGTGTGTCAGGAGCTCACAGTCTTGGCTGAGGTGTGTCTCTATGGCCTCGACTGTGAGAGCCTGATGGACCCGGGTGTGGCATGTTTGGCACTGGTGGCCACTCCTGTGTGGGACCCATTGGTGCTTGTTGGGCTGCCATGGAGCCTTGCATTGGTTGATGAGGCGCTTCTTGTATTGCTTTGTGGCATGGCCAGCCCGCCGGACTGGTTTGTCGTGAATGTAGTGTTGGGGATCTTTGTATAGATCTTCTCCAGTCGGGCGGCTGCTTGTTGGTAGATCTTGAGGTGATCCTGGTCAAGGGTCTGCTGCCAGTCCTCTGCCTGTCTGTCGTAGAGGGTGGATGCTCTTTCATAGGCGGCCAGTGCCGCATCTCGCTGTCGCCTGCGGAGGTGGGGTTCGTTGGCTGGAGTGTCAGGTGTCCTGTGGTTCTTGTGGATGTACAGAGGCGTGATTCTCTGGAAGATTTGTGCATCCAACGCTTGTGCCAAGTCCTCGAACCCTTTCCGCTTCCGTGGATTGGTCCATGCTTCCCACACCACGCCAAGCTGCACGACCACATTGGTGGGAGTGAGGGCGAACTGGGCCAGGGTGATCAGCCCTTGGAACAAGGCGCGGGCTTTGGTCTGGGGACTTGGTGCCATGCCCGTGATGGTGCCTTTCCTCAGGAGGGTTCCAAGGGAGAAGGTATGGATGCAGAGTCCAAACACCCAGGCTTGGGACCGCTGGTCATAAGAGGATGGGGTGGCGTAG